ATTATTTGGTGATCAGAAGTGAGACCCAGAAGACCCCTAATGACTCTGAGGCTGGTGAGCAAACAGGTACCAGAACTCAGCCGAGAAGTCTCATTGCTTTCTCACCCACAGGAGACGTTGACAGTAAGTTTTCTGGATTTTGAGCTCTGCTCTCCTCGTGTTTGACCTCTCCAGGCTTTCTTCAGGATCCTCAGGTTTTACGGCCTTGTCCTTTCTCAGAGTACTTGTAGTATATGGAGGTTGGTAACAACGTGATTTGTTCGGAGATCCTAGACAAACTATCCAATTGGGTTTTGTCACAGGTAAAATAAGGGTATTACAGGGACTAGTGCAAGAGATAATGAGGCCCTGAGCCTTAGATGGTTTGATGCCTTGAAGAGCTGTTTTATTTATAGGGTACTGATTAATTCTGGGAAGAACTATTTTTTAAGATTTATTTGAGAGAGAAAGCACGGAGTGGGAGGGGCAGAGGGAGAGGGAGAGGGAGAGACACTCTAAAGCAGACTCTGTGCTGAGATCTCACAACCCTGAGATCACAACCTGAGCCAAAACCAAAAGTCGGTCGCCTGATTGTGCCACCCAAGTGCCCCTCCTGGGGAGAACTTTTGAGGGATCTATTTGAATCTTGATGGGAGGCGCACTGTGGATTCTGTCAATATCAGTTGAAGATTTTGCACAGAAAGGATGGTAGCTGATCTCATACGAACAAATGATCAGTGTCCCCAGACTTTAATAGTGTGTTAGATATGGAGCAAATAAAAGAAGTTGAAGTGTCATTTAACCCCCCTTGTTGGTGATTGTGATTACTACTGTCAAACTCTAGAATCATTTCCCCTTTGAGAGAAAGAAATCCCAGTGTGATACTTTTCTAAGAAATGTCACCTGCACCTGGGTGGCTCAGGTGGTTAAGCGTCTGCCTTTGGCTCGGGTCATGGTCCTGGGGTCCTGGATCTAGCCCCACGTCGGGCTCCTGGCTCAGCGGCGAGCCTGCTTCTCTCTCTGCCCCTCCCCCTGCTCATGCTCACTCTCTCATCAAATGAATAAATAAAAAAAATTAAAAAAAAAAAGAAGTATCAGGTGCATAGATGAATAGAGAAGTAACTAAGGAGAAGGGAGTGAAAGAGCAGAGGGGAGGGGCAGAGGGAGAGGGAGAAGCAGATTCCCCGCTGAGCAGGGAGCCCTATACAGTGCTCGATCCCAGGACCCTGAGATCATGACCTGAGCCAAAGGCAGACGATTAACTGACTGAGCCACCCAGGTGCTCTCTTATCTAGAAAGCAGGAAGAATGCAGTGCAGCTGAAACTAGGAATAGAGAAGCACCAGGCACATCAGCTAGAGGCAGGGAATATTTGCTGATTTTTACAGATTGAACTTCATCTTTTAGCGTCCTTACCGACATGACCGTGACATGGTCTTCATGTGCCCTGACTCCTCACAGACAAGGAAGTGCCTCATCAGAGGACAGGTGGCTGAAACTGTTTCTGCTCAATAAGAGAAAGCCACAGCCCAGTAGTGAGCTCCAGGCCAGCTTCCACTGTCTGAGGCTATGTTTGCGTTCTCATTTACTATGTGAACACTGACATCTTGCTTACTCACATCCGGCACTGCGTTAAATGTTCTCCATAAAGGAACTCAGCATAGATAAGCCCAGTTGCTCCTCAGCTAACTCTATAAGGTAGATAATGTTTTTATCTCCTTGTATGAGCTACCTGAGGCCTACAGATGCAGGTGATTTTCCAAAGGCCACAGAGCAAGAAAGGAACCAAGTCAGGATCATGATTCAAGTTGAGCCTTTCTTTCCCAGACTCTATATTCAGTGTCCGGTGCTAAATATTGAGCCTCCCTCGCTCCCTCGTGTGCCACACACTCGGCTCAAAGCAAATGATGACACTCCACACTGATCTAGACACTGCAGGCCCTTGCCCACATCCTCATGCTCATTGCTTCCCACCCTCCCACTCCTGCTTGCTCCCCTGGTGTTCCCCAATGTCACCCCTTCTTTACAAGCACTGACTGTCCTTCTAGGACCTGAGTATAATCCGCTGTCTCCCTGGAACTTCCTGTGTCCCTTGTTTGGCCACATATGACTGGCCAACCACTGAAGGACACAGAACAGGTGCAGATTCAGAGCCTACACACAAGCATCAAGTGGGCACCCCTGCAAAACCTCGCTCTCAGATTCTGAAGAGAACTGGAAACAAAAGAACCATAAACTCACAGGGAAAATGATCTCTGGGTACATGGAAGGGTTAATAATTTGTAAAAAAAATTGGATTTCATGGTTCTGCTATGAAAAAGAGTTCCATGGAAAATGTCACATATGGACCCTTTCTCACTGGTGGTGACATCGAAATGTGGTTGTGATGCACACTTCCATGCTGTTTCAGTTCAGTGCACCTATATTAATGTTTATTAGTGTGTGGGATCCACACGATCACTGGTCATATTGGTGAATTGAGGACAGTAGAGAGCAAATCCCATTCCGACAGTGGTTGGAATAATTAGAAGCATTCCTCTCTGCAAAGACTGTAGAGGTAGCTTTATTGTGCATTCACACTACCACATTCCTTCCCCAAGTCCCACTGGGCCTGCTCACCTTACAAACTCTCAGACATGAAGCCCAACCAGCTCCACCCAAAATACAACCACACTCGCACCAGGCCCAGGGCCAGAGGAGCATCCCTGGGGGCCATCTGATGGAGATAGAAACTGACCTGTGTCAACTGGGGGCAGATCAACAGAAGCGTGAGTGGTCGGAAGGAAAGAGAAAGGCATGGCCCACCTTTCCTCCACTGGAGTTAATACAAGGAGACACCACTGGGTGAAGCAGGACCAACCACTTACCCACCCATCACGGCAAGAAACGTCCTGTTCAGCACAATTCAGCACAATCCCCAGCAAAAAGGAATGAGGAGGGACATGTTTCCATTCTGATACGGACTTCCATGTAAACGTCTCAGAGCTGTTTGGACAACAAACATTGAGAAGCAGCATTCCCAGAAATTAGGAATTTCCTCAAGGCAGTTATGCCTGGAGCACCGAGTTGTAAGTCATTCCCACAACTAAGACTCGCCTCACCACAAATGTGGTTTGTTTCGTTGTTGACAAATAGGGAAGATGCATGTGTCTGGCTCCCTCTCACACACTCTTGAGGTGCAAGACCATGACTCCTGGTGTTCTTTGTCAGAGACCATTACATAGGCAACATTAAGGGTTTCACCACTGGGAGTAATTTTTTTAAAAAAAGACATGAGAGAGAGAAAGAGAGCATGAGGTGGGGAAGAGCAGAGGGAGAGGAAGAAATTTTAGCAGACTCCATGCTCAGCATGGAGCCCAACTCAGGGCTTGATCCTACAACCCTGAGATCTCAACCCTAGCTGAAACCAAGAATTGGAACTGAACTGACTGCACCACCCAGTTGCCCCAGGAGTAAGTCATTTTAATGAGACAGTGGTAGCAGCTGCAGGGGTATTGAAGAAATACAGATCAGAAGGAAAATGTCAAATGTTTATGTACTTAGTCCTATTACCCCAGAATAATATTTCCAAAAAACCGACACAATTAGAAGAAAAAGTTAATCCTCTAGAATGGGATATATTTTTTAAAAATTTTATTTATTTAATTGACAGAGAAAGACAGTGAGAGAGGGAACACAAGCAGGGGGAGGGTCAGAGGGAGAAGCGGGCTTCCCGCCGAGCAGGGAGCCCAATGAGGGACTTGATCCCAGGACCCTTAGAGCATTACCTGAGCCGAAGGCAGTCGCTTAACCAACTGAGCCACCCAGGCGCCCCTACAATGGGATATTTTAAAAGAATTCAGTTGTGAGGGGCAACTGGGTGGCTGAGTCAGTTAAGCATCTGCCTTCAGCTCAGGTCATGATCTCAGGGTCCTGGAGTTGAGCCCTGCATCAGGCTCCCTGCTTAGTGGGGAGTCCGCTTCTCCCCCTTCCAGTCATCCTGCTCATGCTCACTCTCTTTCTCACTCAAAATCTTAAAAAAAAAATAAAAGAACCTCTAAGTTGTGAAACATAAAACATAATATCATTTGCAAGTATGCAACAGATTTGAAAACCTCAGTAACATGGTTTCCATGAAGCAATGTAGAGAACCACGTTTGACAAAACAAACAAAACCATTGTTTTGAATCACGTATTAAAAATAAAAAACCACTGGGAAATCACATTTAACAACAGAAAGGAATTACATTTAGCAACAGAAAGTAATTAAGCATACTGGGTTTATCTCTTAGATAGCAGTCAGCTAGTCAGCTATAGGGGAAAATTCCCACAAACCGCCATACATTCACAAGTGCTTATTCCAATTATGGAAACAACCAGAAGGAAGAAATACAGGATCAGTGCAGCCTCTCTACAGTGCAACCAGGGAAGGAGTTTTCCTGCATCTGAGGCTGTAGCATTAAATCTGTCAGATCTATCCTGAGGACAAGATGCTCAGCACAGAAATCATGTATTAGGAAAAGCATGGGAGATCCCTACACATGATAACCTGAAGAGGTGGCCTCATGGACACAAAGAGCCATAGGGCAAAGCAAGGAACCGTATGGACCTGAAAACCAAGACCATCCATCACAGGAGAGCTTGTGGAAAAGTCTCTGGAGTATGCTACTTAACAAAAACTAACGTTAAACTTGTGCTAGGTTGGGGGCCATTCCAGACGACAGATCAGAAGTCAGGAAAATGTGCTGTGACCCAGGCCCACATGGGTCCCCTGGCATCTGTCTCCTGCTGGAAACTCATGGCTTCTTCATGCAGTTTCTTTCTTCAGGGCCTTCATTTCAGAACCGCACAGAGAAGGACTCTGAGACATATGGTCTCCTGCCTCACCACGCTCACAACGAAATCCAGTAGAACCAGCCAGATGCTAGCTTTCATCTTCACACCACAAGATTTCTCTTAACATGTCATGACTGATGAACAACCAAGAAGAAGGGCGATCGGCAGAGTTAAAAATATGAACACAATCGGAGGAGAATTGTCCTCTTTCAACATCCCTGCACATTTACTAATTTCTGTGTGGAGCACAGGTGTGGTACACAGCATTGACAAGCAAATGTGAAGATACATCATTCAATCACAAAGACTGAAAGGAAGGGTAGATACCGAGTTGGAATTTCCAGTATCCACAACGGAGGACAAGATATATTTACAAATCACTTATCACCCCTGAGGCCCAAAGACATTGTAATGGAAATGAGATAAGTTTTATATAACTATACAATCTTTTCCTGTGTGAGATAACAAAATATATTTCATACAAAGGGCACACAGAGGAATATTTTATCTTAGGTGTTCCTCTCAGCAACATGCAGTGGAAATAAATATAATAGAGATCCCTGTTATAGACGAGGCACTTATGAGGCACAACTGTTTATAACAAATAAAGACTGCTGTCCAGCCCTGAGTTTTTATGTACAAAATATATGAGGTGCTATACCTGAAGGTTTTCCAACATTCTTTACATTCATAAGGTTTCCTGGCAGTGTGTCTGATTGGCTTTACAAGATTTTAAGGACAAATGAAGGCTTTCCCACAATCCTTGTATTCAGAGTTTCTCCCCAGTGTGAGTCCTCACGTGGGCTCGCAGGTTTGTGGGGTACCTGAAGGCCTTCCCACACTGCTGACATTCATAGGGTCTCTCCCCAGTGTGAGTCCTCACGTGGGCTCGCAGGTTTGCGGGATACCTGAAGGCTTTCCCACACTGCTGACATTCATACGGTCTCTCCCCGGTGTGAGTCCTCACGTGGACCCGCAGGTTTGCAGGACACCTGTAGGCTTTCCCACACTGCTGACATTCATAGGGTCTCTCCCCAGTGTGCGTCCTCACGTGTGCCCGCAGGTTTACTGGATACCAGAAGGCTTTCCCACACTCCTTGCATTCGTAGGGTTTCACCCCGCTGTGCTTTCTCACATGTACTTGAAGGGAGGAGTGACAGCTGAAGGCTTTCCCACAGTGCGGACATTCATAGGGTCTCTCCTCGGTGTGTGTCTTCATGTGTGCTCGCAGGTTGGCCGGGTACCAGAAGGCTTTGCCACACTGCTGACATTCATAGGGTTTCTCTTCACTGTGCGTTCGCACGTGTTTTTGTAAGGACGAAGACCACCGGAAGGCTTTCCCGCATTGTGCACACTCGTAACGTTTCTCCAAACTGTGCGCCCTCACGTGCCCTTGAAGGGAGGAGTGACGAGTGAAGGCTTTCCCACACTGCTGACACTCGAAGGGCCTCTCCCCAGTGTGCGTCCTCACGTGTTCCTGCAGTGACGTCGAGCTGCTGTACGCTTTCCCGCACTCCTTACACTCGTAGGGCTTCACTCCACTGTGCATCCTCACATGTCTCTGGAAATATCGAGGATGTCTGAAAGCCTTCCCACACTGCTGACATTCATAAGGTCTCTCTTCGCTGTGTGTTCTGACATGTTCTCGAAGAGATAAGGAACAACTATAGGCTTTCCCACATAATGTACATTCATAGGGTTTCAGTCCACTGTGCGTTCTCACGTGTCTTCTAAAGTATTTGGGACAACTGAAGGCTTTCCCACATTGCTGACACAGGTACGGTCTCTCTCCAGTGTGTGTCATCATGTGTCCTTGCAGGGACGTGGGATACTTGAATGTCTTCCCACACTGCTTACATTCGTAGGGTTTATCGCCACTGTGTGTTCTCACGTGTTCTCGAAAATACGAGAGGCAGCTATAGGCTTTCCCACATTCCACACATTCATAGGGTCTCTCCCCAGTGTGAGTTCTCACGTGACGTCTAAGGTAGGACTGATACATAAAAGCTTTCCCACACACATCACACGCATGGACTCTCTGTCCACAGTGACCCTTTACATGACCCTGAAAGGATGAGGTGCAAGTGAAAGCTTTTCCACACTTCTTGCACTCTAAAGATTTTTTACTACCGAGACTCTTCAAGTCTCTCTTTGATGCTCTCCCAGTGTCCTGATGTTCATAGGGTTTCTCTACAAGGTCCGTGTCCATGTGAGTGCTGAGCCTCGAGACACAGCTACAGGCTGGCCCACATTCTTCACAGGGACTAGGTTTGTGTCCAGGCTGAGATCTTTGTGGATTCTCAGGGAAAGAACCACCTGTGAAGGCTTCTCTACACTTAGCACATTTACAGGATTTGTCTCCAGTAGGACAAGCCTCATGCACACTAAGACTTGTAATCTGGTTTATGGTATCTCCACATTGATTATCTTCATTGCTTTCACAGACATGCTCCACCAAATGATTTCTGTTCAAAATAGGAAGGCACACTGTTAGGGAATAATGATCATAACCAAACTATTTATCAATGATCTACTGATGCTTAGTAATGATTATTTGACTACAAAATGACCATTTCCAAGGAATGGGCATGTTTGGGGCACCGTTTACACTGCTATAATGTAGAAGAAGCTAAATGCTCGAAATAAGGGCCCAGTAATAGCCATAACTGTCAGTGTTTCTTACACGTGGGTTTTCCTGATAAATGTTTTGAACTGAATTATTTTTCTGATGATCAGTACTACATCACATTTATGAAGATACTGTGTTGTGTAATTCCAACTACACAACTGTTTTTTGTTTTTGTTTTTTTTAAAGATTTTTATTTATTTATTTGACAGAGAGAGAGAGACAGCTAGAGAGGGAACAGAGGCAGGGGGAGTGGGAGAGGGAGAAGCAGGCTTCTTGCTGAGCAGGGAGCCCAATACAGGGCTTGATCCCAGGACCCTGGGATCATGACCTGAGCTGAAGGCAGACGCTCGACGACAGCCATCCAGGCGCCCCCCAACTACACAACTGTTCAGCTAGATTTATACCTTATACCTTCTTCAATTTCAAGTTATTCTAACAATTTGCCAAGATCCCCATTTCTCCCATGGGAGAGAGAGGCACTCACCTCAAACACCTCTCCTGGGATTGGGACTGATCTCCAATGTGATGAAACACCCAGTTTTCTCCAAAAAGAGCCCAGGAATCATTTCTTGTAAATCTTACAATTTTGTCTTCACTGGATAGTTCATTCTCCAAAATATTCAGCTGAGTCCCTGATCCACAAGGCTTAACTTGAATGCAACAATCTGCAAAAATTGGGAGCATAATTTAATTTCTTGGGAATGATCTGATGTTTAAAGGTAAGAAAATTAAGGAAATAGACCATATGTGGATTTCTACTCATATACTGATCCCAAATGTATATTAAGTTCATCAGGAAGAATGAACATGTGACCACAGAAAAATTCTAAGGACCCTAGTGATTTGGGACTTAGGCAATAAGGAAAGTGTATGAAAAGGCAGCCCGTTTACTCAGAAATACCTCAAAATCGATGGAGACTAATGTGGAGATAGTATTATCAGAAAAGCAAAATAGGAAGGAAATGGGCAAGATACAAACATCCACACACTACTTCTATAAAGGAATACAGAAAAGCTTGCCACGTGAGTGTGGATGGATGAAAAGTCCGACAGGGAGGCCAGGTAAATAACAAACATCACACTTCTCAAACAAGGACTGAGTCATGTTCCTAATGGACATGTGCAAATGCCATTCCCTTCTCCAGAACCTGGTTGAACTGAGGGTAGCTGGACTGTCCTGAAGGCACCGAGGCCCTCGGTTAAGCCTGCCTGCATTGCCCCAGCTGCCACTGGGGGGTCAGGTGGTATATGTGTGGCTGAACAGCTCAGCAGGAGGGAGGATTTGAAGGACAACAAAGCAATCTGGAAAATGGGCTGTTAATTTGGTCTTCAAGGTCATTGAAGATGACGAAGTGTGAGTTTAATTGCAGCATGGTTACCATGAGAAATGTGTATTAACCACAGTGCATCTTCCACAGAAATGAAAACCACAAAGCAGCACTCACTGCCCCAGAGCAACACCAGAGACCATCCTCACACTGATAAAATTAGACAGTCTCAGACTTTGATCCAGAGCAATAGTCAATTTATTACATGAAACTTTGTTTTCACAGAAAAGGTATGTGACCCTAGGTAGTGTCCATGAAGGCTTGGACCATGGCTGTCTCTTCTTGAACACATTCCCATTCCTCCGCCCCAGTAAGATCAAACTCTTGTAAGAAACGTTCCCTAAAACTCTGGTGAAGGGGTGGAGCTGTCCTTACCCAGTGAGGCCAGGTTCCTGCAGGTCTCCAGCATCACATCTCTGTAGAGCCTCCTCTGACCACGATCCAGCAAAGCCCACTCTTCTGGGGTGAAGTACACAGCCACATCCGCAAAGACCACCGCGTCCTGAAACATCCCACATATTCTATTGCAGCAAGGCTCCCTCCTCACCCATGTGTGTGGGAGGATGGGGGCGGTGACACGCAGGGGACTGCACTCCATTCCTAGGACCTGAGTCACACCCGTGTGGGAAGTGACAACATGCAAGCACATCCGCTGCCACGCATTCAGTGATGGGCAGGGCTGGGAACCCGAAGCAGAGGGTGATGACATCAGCTGATACAGACTTACATACACCCAAATATAGGCTATTTTTGCTGACTCAGAGCTGATCTGAGCACTCCAGTACAGTAAAGAATGGAAAATGAAATCCTCATTCAAACAACACAAAATCAGACAACAAACACATCTTTGACTTGCTCAAAGATGATTATAGCCTTGTCAGCTCCAAGAACTGGAAGCAGAATGTCAGGATGTTGTGGACACTTGACTTGAGCAGATCTCTCCTGGGAAGGCAACAAGGTCAAGGAGCCGGGTGCAGTCCCCTGTATCCCGGCAGAGGCAGACACGACCCTTTCCCTGGATTAGGTGGACTGTGAGTCCCTGTGACACAGGGACCAGGGACCTGGCACACCTGGTGCATAAGAGGAATTCCAGTTCTGGAAGAATCATGGAAGTCAGCAGGACCTCAAATATATACCTCAATGCCCAGAATTCAAGGAGAAGGGCACCAGGAAGAAGAGCCCCTGAGGGACTGATGGTAACAAACAGCCACTGGTGACTTTAACAGAGAAAGAAAACAAGGCTAATCCATATCTTTAGAGCAACAAGGGATGACACCACACTCATGAAATAGTTCAAAAAATTACTTTTTTCAAAAAATCAGATTTTCTAAACAAAAACTATTATCTCAAAACTTAATGAAAAAGGGACGCCTGGGTGGCTCAGTCAGTTAAGCGTCTGCCTTTGGGTCAGGTCATGATCCCAGGGTCCTGGGATCAAGTGCCACATCGGGCTCCTAGCTGAGCAAGGAGCCTGCTTCTCCCTCTGCCTGCCTCTGTCTCTCTCTCTCTGATAAATAAATAAAATCTTAAAAAAAAAAAAAAACTTAATGAAAAAAAAAACCCCATATGCCAACCATATCACTTAATAGGAAGGTAAATTCTACTTCAACTGTGGTTATAACTGGGGTCTGCTTATCACACACCTGGTAAGTCCTGTATCTTAAATATGTTTTAAAAATCCATATGACAACCATGAAAAATAAAAGACAACAATATATAAAGAAAAATAATATGATCCGATCATGGGGAAAGAATATGAGCAGATACTTTTCTACAGAAGATATGCAAGCGGCCAATAGGTTCAGGAAAAGATGCTAGATGTTAGTTATCAGGGAAATGGACGTCAAACTATAAGCAGATACCCCTTCAGACCCACTAGAATGGCTATAAAGAAACAAGTAAGTGCTGGTGAGGACGTGAGGAAGGGGAAACTCTCACGCATTTCTGCTGCTGGGGATGGAAAGTGGTGCAGCCATTTGGAGGTGTCTGGTGCATCCTCAAAATGATGAACGTCTAGTTACTGTGCAATACAGCAATTCCACTCCTAGTATCGATCTACCCAAGACAAGTGAAGATGAGCACCAACACCAACACTAATTTCCATATACTCTCTCAGCAGCTTGATTCATAATAGCCAGCAAGTGAAAACCACCCAAAGGCCCACCAACTCTTTGAAAATGAATAAAGGAGACATGACTTAAATGAAATTAGAAGGCCACAGGGGGAGTTCCCACCAGGACCACTCATTCTCCATTGCACTCAACAGCAAGAGACAACCTTGGACACATTACTGCCCCAGCAGGAGAAAGGAAGGAAAGTTTCCTCCTCCCCTGCAACAGCCCAGCCAATAAGAGACAGTCACAGCCCACCCTATGAGAAGACACTAGGGGTGGAACACCAAGTTTGTTCCACTGGATGTCGTCTGGAACAGCCCCTCCCAACATCCCCTCTCCTCTATAAAAGAGAGGTCCTCCCTTTGTTCTCCAGACCTGCCTGTGGTTTTACATAACAGAACTGCAAATCTCGGGGCACCTGGTTGGCTCAGTCCATTGAGCATCTGCCTTTGGCTCAGGTCATGATCCCAGGGTCCTGGGACTGAGTCCCGAATTGGGCTCCTTGCTCAGCAGGGAGCCTGTCTCTCCCTCTGTCTCTCTCTCTGTTGAATAAATAAAATCTAAAAAAATAAAAAAAGAATTGCAAATCTCTGCTATTACCAAATAAACCCATTTTTGCTAGTAAAATAACTGACAGGTTTACACTTAACCCACTGAGTCACCCAGGCATCCCTGGCAGGTTTACTTTTAAAGTTAACATTACATGATCATTGGCCTTTCCATGACTATTACAAATCAACTCCAAATTGTCTTTAAAGAAAATTCTGGTCTTCCTGTAGATGTGGAATCCACCCAGGTAGCATTTAAGTCTATGTTTATTAAAGAGCAGAACTAGTGTCTTTTTCCTTTAGTTAAAAGGATCAGGATAGAATGTGAAAATATGTCCATTGCAGATATAATTTGGCAAACCAACCACACACATCCTAGATGAGTCACCTAAAAGAAAAACCACTAAAATTCTTTTTTTTATTTACCTACTTTTTTTTTTTTTTAAGTAGGCTCTATGCCCAAGGTGGGGCTTGAACTCACGACCCTGAGATCGAGAACTGCACGCTCTACTGACTGAGCCAATCAGGCGCCTCAAAACCACTAAAATTCCTAATTCTCAATTCTGGCAAATGGAGGTTCCTTTTTTTTTTTTTTTTTAAGATTTTATTTATTATTTATTTGAGAGATAGAGAGCACGAGAGGGGGGAGGGTCAGAGGGAGAAGCAGACTCCCCGCTGAGCAGGGAGCCCGATGCGGGACTCGATCCCAGGACTCCAGGATCATGACCTGAGCCGAAGGCAGTCGCTTAACCAACTGAGCCACCCAGGCGCCCAGCAAATGGAGGTTCCTAAACAAAACTCAAACTTGACTCGTTTCTCCTCTTCTTGCAGAGGACCAGGACACTGGAAAAAAGATCGCTACCAACTTAAGCACTCCTACAACTCTATCCCTGCAGCCAGACTTTCCAAATTCCTCCCCATTCCCAATGATCGAGCTCCAGGGAACCACAGGGGCCCTTCCCAGGCTTCCCTTGTAATCAGCTCGAAGAAACCGCTCTCCACACTGGGAATGAATCTCTGTCCTTGCTGACACGTGTCCAACCCCTTGCTGTACAGCAGCCCCCACCTAGGAGGACTATAATATAAATAGTAGGTTCCCTAATGAACCTCAATAGGTTCCTGTATCTGAATCCACTGCCTTTTGTCTAGGTCCTTTGAGATATACTCCATTTTCTACTTAGTTCCTATGGCCCTATTCATTTAATTGGGCGGGTATTTTTTAAACAAGTGTCTTTGTCCTAAAAAGGGTAAATAATTCTAGAATTTGGTAACAGTAATCAACACAGCCAATCAAAGAAAATAAATGACGCTTCCATATCTTTCATCTCTTCCATCTCTGACACACTATAGTGGAGTCGGGGGACACTGATCATTTGTCTTGATTGGATCACCTACCACCCTCTTCCTGGGCAAAAACCTCAACTGATATTGGCAGAGTCCACAGTGTGCCTCCCATCAAGGTTAAAATAGATCTTTCAAAGCATCTCCCAAAAATTAATCAATACCCTATAAATAAAGAAGCCCTTTAAGGCATCAAGCCCATAATAGAAAATTACAAGCCTCAGAGGCCCATCATTCCATACACTAGTCCCTGTTTTTATCTTGGAGAAAACCCAATGGCTGAAGATGGACGTTTGTCTAGAACCTCTGAGCAATATATACCATTGTTAACCCTTGGGACCCTGTTCTTCCTAACTCCCATATGCTACTGATTCAATTCCTACTGTATGCAAATTCCAGGAGGAATACATGACGCCAGGTTTTTACCAACAGAAAAATATTGGCAATTTTCAGACCTAGGGTCCTGGTTTAGAACCGTCATACAATTTGGATTTTCATGTTACTTTTGCTTTCATAGTTATTACCTGTCAAAACGTTATAAAAGTGATGTATCCAGCAAGGAGATAATCTCCAGTGCTTACCATCTTGATAAATAGGGACCGGAGATGAGAAGTGCCTGAGACTCCTTCCTTCTAATATTTCTTGTTACTCAAATATGGCCTTAACTGATTTCCAACTGCTATGCACTTTCCCTAGGATGTGTGACATCACTACCAGGAAAGGTCTTTCCTGGCACCAAGAAAGAAAACCACTAAATATGGAAAACTGACTCATAATCAATGGTGCATCTGAGAAAAGATCTCTATCAAAAGTGGGAAATGTAAAAATTAATATAGAGAAACCTTGCTAAGAATGGAGTCAGGAGGGGCGCCTGGGTGGCTCATTCAGTTAAGCCTCCGACTCTTGATTTCAACTCAGGCCATGATCTCAGGGTTGTTAAGATCAAGTCCTGAGTCAGCCTCCACACTCAGCAGGGAGTCTGCCTGAGAATTCTCTCACCCTCTCCCTGTGCCCCTTCCCCTGTCCGTGCTCTCCCTCTCTAAAATAAATAAATCTTTAAAAGAAGAAGAAGCAGAAGAAGAATAATGATGGAGTCAGAAGATCAGCAGTTGGAGCTTCCACTCATGGTCAACTGCAGAAGCAACAGCAAGAGAAGGACCGTGCAGTTGCAAGTGGATACCACTTTACTATGACAACAGGAGGAAGATTATTTCCCCACATGGCAACAGCCCAGCCAATGAGAGACAGTCACAACTCAGCCAATGGGAAGCAATGATACTTCCAAGCCCAGTTTACTCCAATGGACTTTTTGTTTATAACAGCCCCTCTTCAATTCCCAGCTTCCTCTGTGAAACAGCCTCCTCTCCTCTGTTCTCCATGTTGCCTGCGGTCTCACTGTAGCTGCTTTTCGGAGTTGTAATTCTCACCTATTTCAGAGTGAGCCCATTTTTGCTGGCAAAATTAATGACAGTTTTAACTCATTTCAATAAGCAAGATGGAGTATATTC